TAGGGGGCGTGCAGGAGGCAGCCGATCCATGATTCTCTCTCATCAGTGATGTTTCTCTCTCTCTCTCCCTCTCCTTTCCTCTCTGGAATCAATAAAAATATCTTAAAAATAAATAAATAAATCTCAGCAGATCCCGATGGTGTTCCCGCCCCGAGGACAGACTGTTCCGTCTCAGCCACAGCGCAGGTTGCCTGGCTCCTGGCTCCTGGCACCGGGAAGGCCATCAGCACGTCTCGGACACGAGGGGTGTGCGAAGCCGGGAGGCTGCCATTAATGGGGCAGACGCCCTTTATTCCAACATCACAGAGCAGGGACAGTTGTCAGGATTAACGAGCTGGTTGGGCCCTCCGACATTTGACACCCGCCTCGAAAGGAAAGAATGTCCAACATTAAGTACCTCCCAGGGCCGAAGCGCACACTAACCCCTCTCTCGGAGCCTCTCGACCACTAATCCCTCAGCACCGAGACCACGTCCCGGACAGACGCGCCTTCTTGGCTGAGACGGTGGGAGCTCCCACCACCAAGCCGAGCACTTGACCGGGCTGATGTGGGGGAGGGGGGGCCTGCTCAGCCTCCCCAACACGTCTGAGAAAACAGATGAAGTCACCAGTTCAGTCCAACAAGCACATTTATTCCCGCAAAACAGCCAAAGGCCGTGGCCAATACTGACTCAACCCAGAAGACATGAAGGTCATTTTTCAACCGAATCCACGTTTCCCCCTCGTCGCGCCCGTTTCTGTCCAGACCGGAGCTAAACAATCACGTACAACACAATCCCAACTGCAGTGTGAGGTCGAGTGTGACCGGTCCACCCCCCCAGCTCTCCCGAGGCTGCGAGGGGAGGAGACGAGGAGACGTCGCTGCTCGGAAGTGTGGTCCTGGAAACGTTAGCTCCCTAACGCACAGGAAACCTCCAAGCTGGGCAGGCTCCATCCTTGTGGCAAACACTCGGACTTGTGTAACTCGATAGGATGGCCGTAAAGACTGTGAACACATCGGATCATTTCTAGTTCCTTTCCTGTGTGCGAGGAGCAGAGCAACAAAAACATTCGCGAGGGAACTGCCGGCCACGTCACTGCCTGTGATTTCTTCTGTGGTTTCAGAGTCGATGAACGGGGCTACGTCCAACTATGACGATTCTGCTCAGCAGAGGAAACCATCAACCAATGAAAAGACGACCCACGGAATGGGAGATGTTCACCGATGATACAACGGATACAGAGCGAATATCCAAAACGTATGGAGAACTCATACAACTCAACACCAAACAAACAATCCAATAAAAAGTAGGCAAGGGCCTGAATAGACACGGCTCTGAAGGGGACATGCAGGTGGCCCAGAGGCATAAGAAAAGATGCTCGATGTCACTGATGATCAGAGATGCAAATTAAAACCACAGCAAGCTATCCCCTCACCCCTGTCAGAATGGCTGCCATCAGGGTGTGGAGAACAGGGAGCCCTCGTGCACTGCGGGCGGAATGCAGACTGGCGGAGCCGCGGTGGAAAGCAGGATGGCGTTTCCTCAAAAAATTAAAAGTGGAACTTCCATTTGACCCTCGTCACATCCCCTCCGGAGAGGCCCTCCCGGTCCCACCGGGGTCAGTGCTTCCCAGACAACTTGCCTGAATGAAGCCAGTGTTTCCTGGGTGTGTGTGTGTGTGTGTGTGTGTGTGTGAAAATCCCATGGCAGAAAATAGCACCTTCAAAACACAAGTGGGAGAAGGAACCTTCTGGAACTCAGCTACACCAATTTCACCCAAGCCGCCGAGACGGCGGAGCACAGGGGACCCATGTAAAGTATTTCCCAAGGCGCACCGGTGTGTGTGTGTGTGTGTGTGTGTGTGTGTGTGTGAAATTTCCACAGCAGAAAATGGCACCTTCAAAACACAAGCGGGAGAAGGAACCTTCCAGAACTCAGCTACACCGATTTCACCCAAGCCACCGAGACGGCGGAGCACAGGGGACCCACGCAAAGTATTTCCCACATCTGCTCAGCTGTGGGAGCAGCAGGTGCACCTGCCGGGGGCAACTCGCTGGGGGAAGCGCGTGGACCCCAGAGCACGCGGCTCCGGGGCCTGCCGCTGCACAGGAAGCGTGGTCTTCACTGAGACACGAAGCCCGGGCGTCGGAAGTGCAGCCACTTGTCCCGGGTCGTTCATAAAACCCAGAGCGGCGTCTCCAACACGGATCCCCTCATCTTCCCATCACACCTTTAGATTCGTCTTAAAAAAGAAAAAAAGCAGGGCCTGGCCAGCATGGCTCAGTGGTTGAGCATCGACCTATGAACCAGGAGGTCGGGGTCTAGGGCACATGCCTGGGTTGCAGGCTCGATCCCCCGTGTGGGGCGTGCAGGAGGCACCCCATCAGTGATTCTCTCTCATCACTGAGGTTTCTCTCTCCTTCTCCCTTCCCTCCCTGAAATCAATTTTAAAAACTGTTTTATAAAAAGCAATAACAGGGCTTCCACACTCCTCTCTCTTTGGCAGCTACTGTCACTTGCTTCCAAATAAAGCAGCTGCCTGCTC